AGAAGAAGAAAATAAACCAAAAAATCCTTGAATGAACTAATGAATGAACAACAAAGGAGAATATGGATCAGGACATGATAAAATATGCAAGCCATCTGCTGACTTGATCTATTTAGTGTATAGACATCAGACAATCTTCTCATCTAACACTAAGCGTCCTTATTATCCCCCTAGTAATATAGAAAAACTTTTAACTGAAAGCTCAAATTGATGTCATTTGTGCCGAAACATGTCTCTTTCAGAATATCCCATTTTGAGACAAATCTACTCGCTCATGCACACCCAGAGGTCATAATTGACTTGTGTGATTTCAAAGCTCTGGCATGATGATAGTTTGTATAGATCTTCTCTTCCTAGACGGCATTTTGGGATCAATTTTTCCATCTTCTTCCTTCTGTTATCGCCTCGTCTCTGAATGGTGTTTTTATGTGTTTTTCTTTGTTTCTTCTCTACCTCTTTTCAAATAAGAGATGTGGCTGCGTCCTTGACTGAGCTTTCCAGCATGTCGGATCCATACATTATAGTCTTTTGATAAACAGGAAATACTTTTTGGGCTGAAAAGATGGAGTCTTCGATTCAGTCTGGAATGAGATTGAGGGGGAAATGCACTTAAATTGACAATAAAAAGATGTTGGTGAATTCTAGATCTCAAACAATTCAGCACAGCCGTCAGGAAATGACGGTTATCCAAGGTGATGTTTTCAGATTGTTTAGTTTTTTTCTTCAAGTCATATGTTACATTTACAGGGAAACAAAGAAAAGCCACACATCATAGCTTATGAGCTTGAACCAGGTATTGTTTGATATTCCTGTGAAAAATGACACAAAAAATGCAGCCAATTAATTTCCTGTCCATAACCTATAGATTAACACTTCAATCTAGACTTCACTTGAATGTATGCAAATGAGATAGTGGGTAGGTATATATTAGGATGTAGGACAGAGAATTAGAAGTGGTTTTCTACAGATGATATCTGGGTCTAGCATAAATGATAATAATAGTAATCTTTGTACTATCAATAACGAATAGGAAATATGTGGGGAATTCAAGGGTTCTCTGGTTAGCAGTCAGCACTCCTAGCCTAAATTCTTGGCAGATGCAGTTTCAATTTTATTTGTCATCCCAATTCTAAGTAGCCTACCATCAGTGTTTGTCTTAAAGCCAACACTAACAGGCCTACTATCCATCAACCTTTCACGGTGACTTATAGGATGTCTATCTGCTAAAAAGCCTGCCCCATGGTTCCTCTGTGGGGTGTGGAAAACAACTTCTAGGTCATCCTAACTGTTCAAACTGTGGAGTGATGGGCTTCCAACGGAGACTCTCTGAGCCAACGCAAAGAGAACCGATGTGAATTTGAATCTCACATGCACTCAGTTTCTAAACTGGCAGATCTGCTGCTGCCATCCTGCAAAAGTGGAGTCTCAGCTGGAGATAATTAATGACTATCAACTATTTTGGTCTCTCTGTCTTTCTTCTTCCTCTTTTGCTCACACAATATAACGTTACTCTTTTATGACGATTTACATATCAATGGGTACACTTTCTCCCCATCTCTCAAATACAAACACTCACATAATGGAGAAATGCAAAATGCCGTTAACTGCGATGCCTCTGCTGCAGTGTTTTGCATTTTTTAGATTAAGGATTGCTGATTCTGTTTTCTCCAGAGAACATAATCCCGATTTGAAACAGCCATCTGTTTGTTCAGTCAGTCACTTTCACGGTAGACAACTTGTTTTCTGTTAGTTGTAACTTGCTATTCTTTTCTTTCTCTCTAGGGACTCGCCTGTGAGAGGACGATATGAAGGTAGCGGGCTCCCTTTGGATCCTTTGGTTTGTCCTTGTGGTAAGCTCTTATTTTTGCATTCAAGGAGTGCTGTAAATCAAACATACTATTATTTTCCCGCCTATTATGTATGCTGCACACGTGTGTTTAAACATAGCATTCCATTTTCATTAAATGGACATGTAATATGTTGAGGTCTAGTGGTTTTCTTTCTCAGCAAAACATCTCATGATTAATTTTCACTTACCATTAATAATTGATAATTATAGTTAAAGCTCTGCTTGTTCATTACAAACTTGAATGACCCCAAAGAAAGAATATGTGATTTTTGACTGCACGTGTCTGCATGTTCTTATATCTGCATGTTCTTATATCTGCTCTATTGTATGCAGATAAAACACAGCTGATATTTGTATTTAAAGATGGTATGTTTATTTACATAATATTGAAATGTTTGTAATGCACTTATATCGAATTATAGTAGTGGGTTTATAATTTTGGATTGTGTTGTATTGTGCATCTGTGGTACTTCTGGGACTTTCTTCCAGATATGTATTGCAAGGTGTCAGAAATAGCATCGGCATAACCTCCATGCAAACAAAGAGGAAGCATTCATAGGCTTCATAAATGCTCCATGTGCCTATTAAAAAGTGTACAGTGTGGCATAATTCCCCGCACTATCAACATGGTCACAACAGTGCACTTTAGTCATGCAAGCCACATGACAACATTCAATAAAACATGCCTCAACAAATACATCTTCCGATTAACCTAACCATGTAAAAAATTAAGGCTACAATGACTTTAGACCTCTGGCAACTGATGTCAACGGCGGCCCTAAAATATACTTTTAAAAAGGAGAAGCGTTAACGGTTGTACAATGCATGTAACATTAAGATAAACTAAAATGTACCTTCTTGTTACAGCAAATTTGTTTATGTTTTAATAGGTTTGGATATTCTACATTCCGATATACAGTATCTGATCCAGTGAAAACATCTTGAAATAGTTAGAGAATTTAAAAACGTAACACCGAAAGTTTGATCTGTACCCTTCAAAATAAAAGTCTCTGCCAAATCCACATTTATAGTTTTTTGCTATGCCCCTTTCATACAAATATAACCAAATCAAAGAGAGTTGTTGACGTTCCTGCGATGATACACCTAGAACATTAAGCATTACCTAAATCCTGAATTTAATGTCAGGGTATTGAGGGTTGGAGTAGGAATTGATGTGTTGTGCCCACCAAATGTGCAGTATTCATCTGAGTTGCTTGCCAACGAAATGTAATGAGTTTTAAGGGTTGAGTCATATTAACACGGGGCATAGAGTGTTTGAGAAATTATATCAATGGGTTTAATAGGGGTGTTGCAATCATCAGTCAAATATGTTAACAGAAACGTAATATTTCACACTTTGGCACCATGTTATTTAATTAAAAAAAGATACTGATCTGCCTAATGAAGGGTTGCTGAAGGGTTGCTAATTAAATAAATCACACTTCCAAATGTGTTTTTAATGGACTTGCGGTTCTCTTTACAAATCACAGCACACCTATTTGCTTAATGAGGTTTCTGTAATAAATGGAAGTTTCAACACCATGTTGGAAAGCTCAGAGATTATATTTGACTTGTCTCTGACAGGCTGAAGCTTTTAGTGCTGAGGTATTTATCATGAATCAATGTCCCTTATGGAAAAAACGGTTGTTCCACTATCCCTCGGTGTCGGTGTGAAGTTTGAATTTCCTTTGCTGTTCAGCATCAAACTTGACATTGAGGTCCAGAATAGTATCCCTGCCAATGGTGTATGCCTGATATACCTGTGCTGTTCTGCTTTATGTTTCTGTACTTTCTCTTATGATCGCTCTTGTCATATGTTGATTTAAGAAGAAACGTGAAATGTAACAGGTGAGAAGAGTCCTCAGAGTACATCTTTATTTTCTCATCTGTTGATATTGGTGGTGGCCTGGTGGTCGTATGTATGACGTCATTTACTTCAGTGTTTGGAGTGACATCATATGTACGGCTGCTAAACTGCTACATGGGACATCGGCATTCTCACAAAAGTCACTGTATCGGTGTTTTGCCTTTTTACAAGCCTTTTTCAGACAGGTAAGAATTTTATTTTGGTTTTACGGGAATTCCATTTGCCTGCTAAAAGACACAAGGGGAACAAGGTTTGTATTTTAATGTGACAAAACATGTGGAGACAATCCGACATGCAAAGTCTGAAAATACCTTCAATAATTCAAAAAATGCAAGTGCATGAGCCTGGTTCTCTGAGAGGCTTACATTTAAAAGATTTACGAGATAAGTCAGACCAAAATGGGCTTTTTATCCTTCAGTGAGAAGCATTATCAAAATCAGCATTTCACACTCAAAGATTCTTCCTTTTTAATGCAACGTGCAAATATTAACAATAGAGCAGAGATACGTTTAATTTGAAGGAAATCAGATTCTTAACCGTTTTGTGATCTTCCAAACACACTTTAATTGGTTACATGTACCGTGTAGATAAATCCTTATCAGAACAGCTTTGAAGAAGCTTCAAACACTTTACATGCTTATTCTTTCATTTCATCTTATCTTTAGTAAGGGTGCATGTCTAAGCCTGATAAGACTGGGAATCTTTATAAATGTAGCCAACATCATCAAAAATAATATTTATGCTTACAGTCAATGCATTTATGATCAAATCAGCAAACACACAACAAACTCACTAACAAGTCCCTATCTACACAGCATACTGTTTTCCAAGTCAAACATGTTTCCCCCCCCTTTCTTCTCACCCCTCATGTTGTCTCCACAGCGCAGGGTGGCTGGAGTTGCTGAGTCAATCTCAGACCCATCACTCAGGCCTGGGCTTAGCTTGACAGATGGACAGGACCAGGCGGTGAGCCAGGATCAATATAAATGTCTTAAGCTGTCCAACCGAGACCAGCAAGAGAACAGAACCGGTGAGGCCAGAATCATTTAAGTCCTCTTGAGGCCAAATTGATTACCTGTTGGAGAACATCCCAGGTGTAATAATGTTGTAAGGCGGTGGATGAGAGCAGATTACTGTTGTTATTCTTGTTAAAGGTAATGGTAGTGTTGCTGTAGCTGTAGAGAACTTGTGTTACAACAAAAGACAGAAAATATGTGTTGGTAATAACCCACTCGGTGCATTTTCTCTTCTTTTTCTATTTCCTTTCAAGGTACGTTCTGTGGCCGTATGTGGGATGGCTCTTTATGCTGGGATGAGACTCCAGCTGGGACGTCAGTAACACAAAACTGTCCAGATCACCTTGACCTGGACCCGACTGGTAAGAAGAGATGTTCACTTCTGGCAACATTAGAAAACAAGACTCTTGAACTTTGGTTTTAATGTCAGCAGGAAACAGAGGAAACGATCAAATCTTCTGTGTGATGGAGGTCATGGGGCTGATTGTATGAACAGAGCTCCAATGGCCAGCATGGGGCTTGAAGACTCTTGGACGATTCGATTTTGTATTGTATGTGTGCCGGTCAACAGAACGTTTTTATGCTGAGCCCTGAATTTTAAGCTTTTGTTCGTCAGCTGTGAGCCTGCAAGCTGACTGGGAATGTCCAATGAATGCCCTCTTGAGGCAGAAGTTATACTTCTAAGAAACTTTAGATTATTTTGGCTTCCTTTCTACCAAATCTAACCGCATTATAATGTAAGTGTCCCTGACTAAAGTGCATAAAGTAATTGCATTTTCCGCATCATGTCCTCAGCAGATATGATTTATGTTAGACAGTATAGATTTTAAAAGGAAGATTTTTTAAATAAATCCTTATAAAAGTATTAACTATCCAAATTCATTGATTCACTCAGATAACACATGGCAATACAAACAACACTTTCAGTACATCTCTCAATAACTGATTCATTCAAATTTCTTGCCAACTGTTCGATTTTACAAGATTGCAATTGAACACAACATCATACCTTAAAATGTGCCCAATCCTAATTGTTTGAACTTGAACGCATCAATGTTCTTAGCTTTTAGCATAAACTAGCTCTCTTTCCGATTTTAACTGTGATTTGTTTTGAACAATTACAGACTGTATTCTCGTGAAATCCAGTTCAAGGTAATTCATTAGTCCATTGTGTTCTATCAATCAGAATAAATGGAAACATATGTATTCATATTGAAATTGACTGTGGGACTGCGGGATGAGCATTTGTTACATTGTGAGGAATGCATGGCCCAATAATGTCTAGTTTGAGAAATCCACAGTGCAGTCATGTCTGATTTAGGAGATGCAATATGATGGAGGGGAGGGGGGTGAGGAAAAGGACAAAGAGGACTGAAGGGTACATGAAGAGAAACTTTTAAAAAAAAGAAGGATTACAAAAAAAGAAAGAGTCCGAGAGATAGATGGGGAGAGATAATGTGAATGAGAAGTGTTTTTGTAGACTCATAAAGCATCTTCCCAAAATGCCTGTGACGTTAAGTGTCCCCTTGTGGCTGCTTATTTGAAAACTGATGGTGCTGATATGAGGCTTCTGGGAGAGACGTACAGTTGGAAGAGGATGCTGAACAGTTGATGAGCTGTCGGAGATGACTAGGCTGAGGCTGCTGTTGTCAGGACGATGTGATCTCATTCAGACCTACACTACATGTGGTTTCAAGCCGGAGCCGAGATTTGAGAATTTGCCAGAAAAAAAGGGATTTTTTTCTGTTTGACATAACGTTTGATGATGGGTGCCATGTTACATTAATCACATTCAGCATCCAATTTATGTGTTGGATTGATGCTGGAGAAAAAGGCAGAACAAAGAAAATAAGAGGTTCTCTGCTGGACATGAACATCAAACAGAAGCAATCATTTGCTTTTTAATAAGGTAAAGCTTTTAGGTGAATCATCAATGGAGTATTCAATTGTGAAGTCATTGCATGTTATTCTTTTTTTACAGAAAAAGTGACCAAATATTGTGCCGAATTTGGTAACTGGGTCGAGACTGGGTCCAATTGTCAACCAGCTTCAAAGAGCAAATTGGAGGTATTTTGCTTTCGCTTTAAGTAATATAAGAATGAGATGGTGCTAGCTTTAGCTGCTCTGTGCTCTCATTATCACACTGAACTATCTTCATATTTCTTAGACGGAAGTTCCCCATTTTTTATTGGATGCGCCTGGAGAGCCGACCACAAAGTCCATAGCGCTTAATGCAGAAAAAGGCAGTGTTATGGAAAAAATGATCCTTGAGAATGAAAAGAAATGCTCAGAGAAAATTAAGCAAGATCCGCCTTATAACAAATCAGGTAGCTATTAAGTGTAACTCTAATTTCACGCCGGACAAACTTATGAACAAACGGCCTGTAACGTTTTTTGCTGTTTTTTTAGGCCTGCACTGCAGTCGTAATTGGGATGGCTGGCTGTGCTGGGAGGACACCGCAGCAGGAACCCACGCTTCACAAAACTGCCCCAATTATTTTGGTGACTTTGACCCCACAGGTGGGCGGAGAGACTTTGCTGCTCTGTTGCTATCGTGTTACCCTGGCAAGACAAATTCACCTTTAATTATATGTTGACAGTAATTCAAGAAATTAGATTTAATCACGTAATTGTGTTTTCCAGAAAAGGTAACAAAGTTCTGTGCCGAGGACGGTCGGTGGTTCCACCGTCCTGAGTCCAGCATTATTCGGACCAACTATACACTCTGTACCACCAACCATGAGAAGAGACTGAGGGTAAAGTATTGTTGACAAAATACACTTTCTGTTGTGTATTTATTGTTCAGATTATGCATAAAACCTCAATGCTGCTTATTCTTTCTGCAAATTCAGGGCATGTAGTCTTTTCTGCAATTACAGAATAATGGAATATAACAATTTGGCACAACAATCGTATGAGTGGCCTCCAAAAATGTAGTAAACAGGATGAGCACAGTGTTCTTCTGTAACAAAGAGCCACAGTTTTGCAGTGTTATGACAACATAATGCTACTTGTGCCATTGCTCATCCTCAAAATAAATATAGGTAGCACTCCACTTCTGAAATGTTTTCTTATAAGTATACAACTGTCTTGTTTTGCTTTGCCTACTGAGATTTAATTTGATAGCAATAAAGATCTCTCTCTGCGTTCTTTGAAACATTATTGCAGTTTATTTTCAAGTTTGACCCTTTATATATACAGTCTATGGTTTGACCCAGACCTTAGACTAAAAAGGAGTATTGCTCATCAGGAATCAAATCTCCCTTTCTCAAATTGTCTAAACCAGTGGTTCTCAACTGGTGGGTCGCAACCCAAAAGTGGGTTACGGACCCGTTTCGAGTGTGTTAGTGAAAAAAAAAAATCCTTTTTTTTTTTTTTTTTGGGAGAAAAAGTCAAACTTTTATTTTGAAGGCCCGATTTTCTAACGCTGTGCGTCGGCGTTGGACTGAATGTACCGGAGACCATAAACGGTTTTGAAAACTTCTGTCACGTAGTGATCATCTTCTCAATAAAACATCTTTGCTGATGTTTTTTCGAGTCTTCTGGCCAATCAGAATCAAGATTGTTGCCGGAAGTCCCCACGGAGAATAACTTAGCGGTAGAACTATTCTTTATACATCCATGGGTACAACTTCAGATAAAAATGAACACATAATGAAATATGACCCCGGTTTGATGATTGACAGGTCACAGAACAATGGGAGCTATCTACCCTTACCCACAATTTAAACTATTTCACACAGACTATCTCCTCTTTACTCTTCTCTCTGTGTGGAGCAGCAAGTTCAGCTGTCAGAACAAAGTGAAAAACAAACAATGGCATAAAATATTATTAATTAATATTTTATTTTCTTCTCAGAGTGTACCAGAATGTGTAGTTTATATGTTAGTATTTCAAAAAATCTCCTGGGGGAGAATCCCCCCAGACCCCCCTTCTGGGGTATAGGTTTTCAGCACGTGTGCCTTTTTATGTTACACAGTTCAGCTTTGATTCCATCATCTCATTAAACCTTATTTAAAAGCATTATTTTGTTCTGTGAAGGGATATAAGGGATATATGCACTGTACTTCACTTTAATTAATATTGTATGCTGCAAAGCGTATATATTACTGCAGGATTTTTTGTTGAATAGATTTGAGTGGTTAAAAATGTCGGATCGCGATCTATTGACTAAGGAAAAAGTGGGTCCCGAGGCCTGACCAGTTGAGAACCACTGGTCTAAACCATGTTATCCAATGTTGTAACATATTTTGTTGTTATTGTTTACAGAAACTGAAGATGCTTGAGTACGAATACAAATGCCTCCGGAAAATAAATCGAGACCCACCTTATAACAAGTCAGGTACTAAAACTGTCCAATGAGTCTCACTGTTATTTTGTTGTAAATCCATGTGATATTACCACGATGAGGATTTTGGGAAATAGCAGCCAGGAAACATTTTTCATTATGATTTTGTGTTTTCTCTGTCGATGCTTCAGGGTTGCACTGCAGTCGTAACTGGGACGGCTGGCTGTGTTGGGACGACACTCCAGCGGGAACATACGCCTCGCAGAACTGCCCCGATTACATGTTTGACTTTGACCACACAGGTGAGCAGTATGTCTAAATAATTCATCCCTTTTTCTACCACATTGTCCTGTTTGCAAAGAAGATCGACTAAACCGTTCATTTGTCCACTGCAGTTCAAATAAAGGATTTCTGATTCTGAAATTGCTTTGATGATTATAAAGTAAATCTAATGGGACTAACGTTTATGGCTACTCAGATTCATAGAAAAGTGGAAATGTATAGAAATGTTTAACATTAGTATATTTATCACGTTATTTTTCTTCTTAGAAAAGGCTAATAAGTACTGTGGAGAAGACGGCCAGTGGTTTCACCATCCAGAGAGCAATAAGACTTGGACAAATGATACTCTCTGTGCTGTCAACACTAAGGATCGGTTGAAGGTAATGTATCCTGATTTACTGTAATAACTACTCAATGCTTCCAATATATACCGTACAGATTTTTCAAAGAGATTCTCAGTAATTCAGTTTATACTTCTGTGGTTTTTCTGCATTTCATAGCCTGAAAGGAAGATGACTGATAGTCGAAAAAATTATAATTCCAACTCAATATGATTTCACTTCATCAATAAATTAGAGATTGAAAAGAAACAAAATAGTAAATCATGTTTTGCTCGGCTATAAGGGTGTTAGAAAATATGAATGTAGTTTTGCGTTGGTTATGTGATTCTGCATTGATCGTCAGAGTTTGCGGTCATATTTCTTTCTTTCTTCTCAAAAGAGAAAAAGGATAAGCACATTTTTGCAATTAAATGCAACTTGTCAAGTTTTCTTTCCCATAGCCACTGTTTGGTCCTGATTGATATTGACTTTGTGTTTGTGTGTCTGTCTAAAAGGCAGCCGCACAACTCTCAGGGGAAACTGAGATACTGACTGCTGAAGAGGCCACAGTCGGCCCCATGGTTAACCCAGAGGAACAGGAAGTTGTGAGAAAGAAGATCCTCGACAGCCAGTACAACTGCATCGAGAGAATGCGTCGAGATACACCTTATAACAAATCAGGTAGAGATATGATCTAGCACTCATCATGCCATCTTTAACCTCTGTGGTCGTCTCACTTTCTTTGTTGCTGTGTCTGCGTCACAGCGCAGCACTGCAGTCGTAACTGGGACGGCTGGCTGTGCTGGGGCGACAGTCCAGCGGCAACATACGCCTCGCAGAACTGCCCCAATTATTTTGTGGACTTTGACCCGACAGGTGAGCCGCACGACTCCAGAGACGCTGATTTAAAGGTCCTCTGATGCAGGAGGGATTCACCTCTGACACTGTTGACTGTTTTTCAAGAACTACTAAATATGAATTGCTAAGACGATGAATTATTCACCAAGGCTGACAGAACCTGAATATATGGACACTGTGAAGAAACTTGGAGACTATGCATTAATTCCTTAATTGTTACTTACAGAAAAGGCCACTAAATACTGTGGGGAGGACGGGCAGTGGTTCCGCCACCCGGATACCAACAGGACTTGGTCCAACTACACACTCTGCAACGAAAACACCAACGCAAAGTTGAAGGTAATATATCTAAGATGCTTTCATAGATGGTGATGACAGTGTGATGGGTCAGCATACTCTTTCCTTTACTTTTGCATGGAGTCGTCTGGTATTTGGAGTGTGGGCAGATGATATATAGTCGGACGTAGTTGCCCATAAATATTGCTGCAGAGACCAATATTAACAGGCTTTCTATTTCCAAAAGACATTACTCTCCTGTACTAAGCTCCACAGAAATATTTAGAGATGACAAGTTACATGCAGGCCCTCCGTCCTTCAGGCTTTATAGTCATAAAACAGAGGATTCTAACTACAAATTAGCATTATTAACAACCCTCTTATCACCAGGCTGCTGTACTAAGCCACTAACAACGTTTCCCACATGGAAACCAGATCAGGAAACCACACAGCGTACACCAGTGTTGTGCTGGAAGAGACATCATCAACTTTACATGCCTTTTGATCAACACTGCAATTCATTTTACAGAACACTTGTACAATTTAGTCAGTATTGACCCTGCTATATCTTATGGTCAAACCATGCTGTTGTATGAGGTTAGTTTAATGTGTTTGTTAAAAGCTATTTTAATTGATAAAAAATATAAAACAATGATTATACTTTTACTGACTTTACAAACAATTAAAATACATGTATTAATGTTTAATGTGTATTATAAATGCTGTAATTCATGTTACATTTACAGTTAAGACACATTTCTATCAATTGTGCACAAATACCCACTATTCATAATATAAGATAGATCATTACAATTATTAATTAAAATCAGATTTAATAATCAGTGAGGGTGATTTGGTGTTACCATATGTTTTGATATTTTGATATAATGTAAAGTATTTCTCTACAAGTTTGAATGGAAAAAGCACACTGTGCCAAATTTCACTTTTGCAAGTTTACATTTTCAGATTTTCCTTTTTGGAAACGTTTCCATATTTTATTCTGTTGATTGGGCATCTTATTGACAACAAGTTTGCCAACTCCGCCAAAACTCTGCCCTGCTATCCCATCTGCAAAAGAGAAAACGATTGCAAATAACAACAACAAAAAACAAAAGAACTGCAGGAAACCGCGTCTCCATCCAGGCAGCGGACTTTGCAGCTGTCCTGGCAAACCTGGGAGAAAGACTCAAAGTCTGCTGATCGATCAGAAACACAGATCAGCTCCATCTGTTGCCACAGAAACCCGAGCTTTGCTGCCTCAGCCTCGCAGCTTTAGGAAACCTCTTAAACAAACAGCCTCAGCACTAAAACCCCAAAGAGAAACAAGGCAAAATAAACGGTGCACGATTTTCTGATAAGACTGAGTTGATGCCAACTTAAGCTCTTAATTCCTTTTTTCACGAGCAAGGACCACACCATGAACTGAGATGTGAGCACAGCATTATAGTTTAATTCCTTGCAGCAATCTGAACACTTTTCTCTGTATTTATCAACCCTGTTGTTGTGTCTCTATAAAAGCTACGCAAATCTTAAAATATAGAATAAAACAAAGATGTCACTTTATTAAAAAAAGTAGATTTTTGTGTAAAAATGCACATTATTTATGCTTTTTTATTTGATTTGGGTCTTCCATAGGCACAAAAGGAAACACCATGTGACACTTCAAAAACTTCATATTTCTTCTGCAAATCTTATTTTTCTCCAATAAAATGCTTCACAGTTTCTCTAACTTGTCTTTTCTCTTATTTTACAGTCAGCGTACATCCTGTTCTACATGGCAATTGTGGGTCACGCTCTCTCCATAGCCTCCCTGCTCATCTCTCTGTCCATCTTCTTCTACTTCAGGTAATCAGTTCAATTATTATTCAGCTGTCATTTCTGGTCTGATGATGCATATCGTGATGTGAATTAATATTCAGGATGGTTGTACTGAGATGAAAGCTGATTACATTACAGGTTACCTTTGTTTTCATCGTTGGCTGATTAATAGATGGTGGCTTTGCTCTTAAAGGTTGAATCATCACAGTCACTATAATCAAAGGATCAGACAGACACACAGATGGTGTTCAGCTTTTACGACCAGTCTCATCCAACCATTTCATTACTCACCATGGTCAGTCTCCTTTTATGCTTTTGTCCGCAACAGCAGTTTAAAAAAAAAAACTTGCCCAAGAGCCACACAGAAGATCTGTCAGTGTTAATGAGTTTTGATGTCATATTTTGTCATATAATCAAAAGGGCTGATTGTTTATTCCCTCGTTGAGATGCTCTGAGGCAAGTAACATCTAAAAGATTATAAGATCTAAAACTGTTAAAAATACATTAGCGCAGTGTTGAATTAAAACTGAAGACTAATTAGAAAAGTATTACTTTCTCAGCTGCTGCCAATGCAAACTATTGACCTGAAAAATACTCCTGCTGCTTCACTGAGTGTAATTTATACGCAATTTAACTGGTGCTAATTTCAAGCCAACTTGGTTTCCTTGTGCTGCACATTTATTTCAAGGATATTTAGGATTTAAAACTGGAGAGCTGTGAAGTCCGTTGAATGTGTCGGCGGTGTGATTTTATTACAAACATGTGCACCCGAGTGCATTGCTCATTAGGGTTGTTCATCCCGATTAACTGCTTAATCCCAGAGGGGAAAAAGTGCACAATTAAAGGAGATACTGCAGCTGAAATTCAATTAAGGAAGAGTTCAAAGCGCGTATAGCTAAGGAAGGTATTATATTTAGTTAATGTATGTGAATATTCATTTGGAGGTCATGAAGCCTGAGGAAAGAGTTAGCAGACATTGTTAAAACTTTATAATTTATCTTTAGGAAGGAATGAGCTTAATAAGCATGTGTAACGATGCAGAAAGGTTTATAGCTCTACGGATAACTGTGAAGAAACCTGAATACGCAGAAAATTAGTTTTATGTTCTGTAACAATATTTGGAAACGTTTCTTCGTTGGCCCTGTTGTTCATGAATTCTGCAATTGTAAAGGCAGCTGTTATCCAGAACCGATCTTGTAAGAGACCCTCAGTGTGCTGCAAAGTTTAATACACACTCGTAAATCTAGCGGCCATGTTTAGGGCAGGTGCATTGTTGCAAAACCGCATGACCCTCTAAGAGTCAAACTCTTAACTCAGCTACACAAAAACACGGCGGGACATTCACAACTCATCAAGATCTAAGTGCCGACCAATTAATAACTCAACGGAGTAACAGCGATGTTGGCTTTGAAATTACTTAATCTTTAACCAAGTCTCACACTATTTATAGCCAAAACACTTAAAATATTGGAGGCTTAATGTTGTATTAGACCCAGATGTGAAGCTTATAGTGGTATGCGATGGTGTACAGCTGCACTACGCTGTTATTTACAACTTTACATCAACCCTGTCAGGATTCCCAGATAAAAATATTCAAGCTTGCTGGGGAAAAACCTACGTGGTTAAACAGCCATCCCCGAAGATGTTGATCTGTGACGGTCCAAAAGCGCTGCCATTAGAATTCAGTCTGTGTTTTGACATCCCTTTCTAGATAAAAACCACTTGTATATAAGCATTCAACAGCTTCTGCATTTCTTTTTACGCCTGGAGGCTCCAGGCGTACACAAAAAAACTGTCTAGCTGTGGCTCCAGCCTGGAGCCACAGCTAGACTGTTTTTTTGTGTCGGAGATAGCAGCTGCCTCTGCAGAGTGAGACGGTGAAAATGTGCTTTTTGTGTATTCGGTTTGGTCCTGGCTTGAGAGAATGCGCTGCTCTTCTTGTTTTTCACGAGTCTCTGGGGTTTTTATGGCTCAACAAAGATACAAATTCTCCATGGCCAATAAAAGGATATGACTTCTTAAACTGTGGAAGACATTTTTATAGGAGGCTATATTCTACAAAAATATATTTGGTGTATGGTTTCATTCAGCTTTAAACACCCTCTGACCTGCAGTTCATTTCATGGCCTTAAATAAAGCAGTACTTAACCATTACACACAATAAACCTACTGGATAGAAATTAATTGTAATGATTTTCATTAGAATAGATATTTTCACTTTGCCTTTCAAGCATTTCATTATGTGGCCAGCAAAGGTAATGAGGACTACCCTCGGGATCCATTATACATTATTTAACTGCATTTATAGCTTGTACAGTACAGAGCATTTAGAGGCAATCCAATTCATTATAACCAGAGATTTACGATACCAACCACAAAGAATTCTGAAATGAAAGATCCCAATTATATAACAGACTGTAGCAACATATTAAAACCTCATTAAAGCAGTAGGCTATTAGCCTGCCGATCACTTTTCCTCCTGTTTACGTTAACATTTGTAGCAAGTGTTTAGTCAGAAAGGATTGTTTTCCATATTTGAAGATGCTATTTCTTAAGATTACCTCATCATTTAATGGTATGTTAAGCTTCAAATTAAATTGTTTCTTTTCACACAGGAGCCTGAGCTGCCAAAGGATCACCCTGCATAAGAACCTCTTCTGCTCCTATGTGTTCAATTCAGCCCTCACCATCATCTCCCTCGTAGCTGTGGTCAATAATCCTGAAGTTGTTGCCAGAAACCCGGTGAGTAGCCTCTTTCACCACCAGGACAACCACTAATCTTACTTTAAGCACTTCAATATATCCAAAGTGGGGTTGGAAACTAACACAATGTATCTGTCAGACTAGCTACATGCTAACATGTTTACAACATCAATGCTAACAGGTTTGTTTACTGTGCAGGCCACACCACCTTAGCTTAGCATGTTGCTATGCTAAAATGTGCTAGTTTTAACAAAAGCCAAATAAAGTTGGATCTTATCTCATCAAAGGGAATCTCACTAGTTTAACAGTTATTTAAAACATTATTTGTTTAAAGGTCACATGTCATGACCATTTCTACTGATCATAATTCCATTGTTGAGGTCTACTAGAATAGATTTATATTGTGCAATTTTCCAAACCCACATTGGTTTGTTGGAGCTCCTGCCCCCCTCCCTGTGAGCCCACTGTGCTCTGATTGGTCAGCTCGCCCACTCTGTTCTGATGAGTCCACCACCGTTACAGTGGAACATCAGTGATTATGTGTTACAATGGCGTTAGCAACCAGAAAATGACACCAGTAATGACAAACAGATGAGAATGCTGCGTGGGGTCTGGGTACCGTGTTGGCGGGACAGTGTGAGCTGGGTTAATTTCCTGCTTGCTGCGTGGGGTCTGGGTACCGTGTTGGCGGGACAGTGTGAGCTGGGTTCATTTCCTGCTTGCTGCGTGGGGTCTGGGTACCGTGTTGGCGGGACAGTGTGAGCTGGGTTAATTTCCTGCTTCCTGCTTGCTGCGTGGGGTCTGCGAGACTGCGAGACAGCGAGACAGCGCGAATGGACGCGGGAAGGGAGGGGGCTGCAGCACCCCCCATCTGCGAGGCTCCACTAGCACCCGCACCCCCAAACGCATCACACCTACAGTGTAAGCGCGCCACAGTTTCGCCTCTGCGAGGCTCCACTAGCACCCCCCCCCCCCCCCAGCGCGGTATTTTCTGTGTTTTACTCGCTACAGGGTGTAATCTGAGGGTTTGTGACTCTGCAGACCGTTTACATGCATAAAAACCTTCATAACACACAAGGGGACGGGACATGGGACCTTTAAGTTTAGCATGATAACATGCGAACATTAGCTAATAAGCACATAGCAATTTACAGCTGAAGCTTATGAGAATGTCATTGGTTTTTCACGAAGGCTCTTCAGTCATTAACCAAAATATTGTATCTGATAATGGCACCAAAGGTGAAGTTATTGGAACACCAAAAATATGACTAATAATATCCACCGGCAAAACGGCTAGCACATTTTCAAAATAAAGCAGCCAATGATTAGATTGTTTTTAAGCTGGTGAATGATTTATAAATCTATGAACCACTTGCATATTTTATTGTAGCCAATATCTATTGTGCAATATTTGTCAATCTGGACGAAGTGGTGAATGTTCACCGAAAGAGCCAAATGCTAGCATTACAAAAAAAAGGAAATACCAGTTAGCAGAATTTGATTTATGGAGGAGGATTAGTTCCACTGTCTTGAAATGAGATACAAATGCATTCACAATTTATGCTAAACCATATAAAAATTCAAAGAAGAATTTCCATGATCTTTTAAAAATGTATATGTTTATGCAGGGCCAGGGGATCAAGGAAGCTACATTCAAATAGATTGCTCTATTCTATATTTTAAATATTTAAACATTTGTAGTCAGACTTTTAAGTACATCCTAATTAGTGCTCACAGTGCCGTATATTGGCAGTATTATGGGTTTTTGCTCTCTTCCACATACAGTACTCCTACCCAGAGTTTTGAAGCCACACTGAATGCATTATGTGAATTCTTTGGACCCCGAGGTCTGCTTTGGTAGAGATGATAAATCTGTCTTGTTGGAATGCCTCACTATCAGGCCTGGACATAAATTCATGTGTTACTTTTCAAGAAACACTCCTTTTGGAAATATAAATAAGAAAAACCTGCAAACTATTTGATTGCTTTTTTCTTAACGGTTGTTATCGGAGGGTTTTTACAATTCCAAAAAAGGATCATATCTTACCTTTTATGTAGAACAGAATATAATTTACCACATGCAGAAATAGCGAACAGGATTGTAGCAGTTGGCTCACCGTTCATACTACCCCATCAGATCCTAGCCAGTTTCAGCTTGAGCGTATCTGGCCCGACAAAGTACCCGAAACAACGGCGGAGTCAGCGGTAGCCTGAGCCTGGTTTGGGTTTTATTTTCTGTCCTGCTGATGCTCCTTTTTCATTCATTCACCAAATCTGTCTGGCTCATCCTGGCCGCCGTCTTTTATTCACATCCCATCTCTAACTGTATCCAAGGAGCAGCCAGGCATGAGAGCCATTATTATCAATGTCAACAAATATATGTATTTTTGTGCAATGGATTGCTTTCAAAGCTCCACTCGCTATTTGTCAAGAAGCTTTGTGTCGAACCTGCTACTTTCCGACTTAGAACTGTCAAGTTGTGCTAACTCGCTGCAGCATGTCAGAACAAAAATGGTCACCGTGGCCCAGCTTCTCAAGAGGATGGAGACAAATAAATCTCAAGCACCATTAGTTAGGCTTCATGCGTGTCTTTTGGGAAACATTTAGGAATTTTCAGCTGCCGATATAAGAATGATGAGCCTCTGTTCTCTGCGCTGGCGATTTAGGAAAGGTGGATTGTGGTGGAGATTTGCTCTCACAGCGAATACAAGCTCCTTTAATTCTCTATAGCGTGGCGATACAGAGTCTGGTGTAGCCTGCCAGCAGTGTGGGGGAGTGAATCCCCAAAGCTTATGTCAAACCAGGGAGGAGCCTGAAAACAAGAGAAACATCTACATGATGTCTAGCTGCTTGATTTGTAAACCAGAACATTGTCGGTAACTTTAGACAGACCTTTAGCTGCAATGCAAAACAGTTGTGAGTAAAGGACAAGAGAGCTCAGCATACGAGATGTCTGCTATAGTGGAAAGGGAAACGTAGGAAAGTGAGGGAGAGACATATGGCTAAAAGTTTAGGAGTGAATGATTGTTGTGTATTTTGAATAAGACCCCTGAGAGCAGACGTTAAAAGCAAAGCCAGCACCGTTGAGTTATACTGTGGCTGCACGCATGCTCTTTAAACACACCACAACGATCTTGAGATCCTGATTTCCTGTTTTTTTATTTTTATGTTATTGTACAAAGGTTACTTCTGTCTTTCTTCTCCATAGGCAGTTTGTATTTCAGGGGAAACAAATTGTACTTGTTTTTTTCAGAAAGCTATTATTCAAGATTACAACATGATACTTAAGTCACTCACAAAATAACTATATACACAGACAACCTAATTTAAATAATCTTAAAAACATATCAGAAAGCAGAATTGATTAGTCTGAAGAACAAAAAGTCCCTAACTTTGATTTGTTTTGTATGGTATTACAGTAGTAAGGCACATAATGAATGAAACCATTATTCTCCCAGTACAGTCACCATTATGAGCTTTTAATTTAAATATATAATGAGATTACTGTGTTATGGATCTTCATTTAAAACACAAAACAAATATTGTAGAAGAAAACACAAATATATTGATACATTTTGGATGCCAATAATATGATCCCATAAGAAATGAATGAAATGGCACTGTGGAGACGGTGTCTTTTGGTGTAGTAGCAGTATGTGCCACATGTTAAAGTGGATTTAAAGTATATATTTGTTTCTGTTTTGAAAGGAGAAACAAACCGCAACATATGAGAAATCTGTAACATTAAGCACAACTTTGTAGGTAGCTGGATTTAGATTACCACTTGTAGCCATCTTGGCTGTTATTGGAGCCACATGATCCAAAATGGGGAAGCCATCTGAGAAGAGATGAGCGAGCAGCCGTCAACATTTGAGCATTCCAAATATATGTCTCCTTAACAAATCTCCTAAGAATTGCTACTATAAGTCTAAAAGTTTCCTAGCGGTACACACGCAGAACTTGCTAGAAAAGTTTGGACTTTTTGAATAGACATGAGTACAGTTAGGTTCATTATAAGTACAGCTTAAAGCACACCCACAGAGATCTTGGTATTTATAGAAATAGCAATAATAATAATTATTAAATCAAAAGAATAGCGCAATATTGAGGCATGTCATGTTTGCACTTTGCAGAAATGTGCATAGTGCTTTATAAGTAACTACTATGTCTTTGCTGAACATGGTATTCACTTCCTTTTGCAAAGTGAGACAACACAATCAAATAGCACTCCAAATACAAAGTACATTTCCATCTATGCTCACCTCCAGGGGGGGTAAATGAATAAACATAATCTCTGTCTGCAGAGGGTAATGATTTTTGTGCCATGGGTGCCGAAACATCCTCTTAGATGTTTCTGGGTCCCGCTGAGAATATGTCAGCAGTGTAAATCAACCTTTTTTAAATTCGAATACAAAAACAACTAACTTGCTTCCCTGTTTGGGCTCTCTCTGCAGGTTGGCTGTAAGGTGCTGCACTTCTTCCACATGTACATGCTGGGCTGCAATTATTTCTGGATGCTTTGTGAAGGCATCTACCTGCACACTCTCATCGTGGTGGCTGTGTTTGCAGAGGAGCAACATCTGCACTGGTACTACCTGCTCGGCTGGGGTGAGTCTAACATTTGATCAAAAGTCAGTTTTTTCTAGTTATGTTTTATATGCCACATGTTTTTTTCATGCTTTCCTAACATGTCAATGAAACAAATCAGCAAGACAGAACCAAATCCATACGCTCCATTTTTCCCGTATGCACCTGATCCTCCTACCGTTTTTCAACCTTGGTAGGCTGACAGCTTTATTAGCCCTCCTGTCGCTTAGTGCTGTCCTGTTGTTTACCTTGTTCCAAACTGAAATAATGTGTGCAGTCTGTCACAAGTTGGCGATGGAACTAAACGGATGGTCATCATTAAAAATAAAAGGATAACCTTGAGAGAGTGTGTGTGAGATTGTGTTAGGCGGATAGTCAGTCAGGTCCATCTGTGGCCGATACGCTGCAGAACCTCAATGGAGCCGGAAAACAGCTGCACATGTTTTCATGAGTTTATATCCAGAAATATTAAAAGCTACTCTGAGCCCCTTATTACACAACACTGTAGCATGGAATTAACCATGTGGTGTTGTTTTTCCTGTTGGAGCAATTCACTGTCTTTAATCCTTTCCAATCATTTATACAATGATATCTGTGAGAGACTGATTTATGTATTGAGGAGAAACAAGCTAACCCCATTTAGTTTTTACTGTCGCAAAAATGACAAATGAATTTCCCTAAAGTCACTCAAGACCTCATATGGCTGCCATCTTTCTCCCGTCCAAGGCTTTCCTCTAGTGCCTGCATCCATCCACGCCGTGGCGAGGAAAAAGTATTTTGACGACAAGTGAGTAATGTTCCAAGACTTCTGCAAATAAACAGGAGATGTTTACATACGTGCTCGTCTGTGTGCGGCGGAGATTCGGGAGCGTGCAGATCCTTACACGTGCATGTTTTTGTATGTGTGTGTGCATGTGTATTTTGGGCCGCAGACAGCACTGATGGATGTGTTTTTCCTTCTAGCTGTTGGATGAGTGTCGAAACCCATCTGCTCTACGCCGTCCATGGTCCTATCGTGGCAGCGCTTCTCGTAAGTCTGATAATCTGCTGTTTATGCACAATATCACAGTTCACAGAGTGAGCAATATGAGTATTAGTTTGTTATTTTTCTAGTATGTTCAGTTGTTAAAGGTCACCTATTATGCAAAATTCACTTGTTCATGTCTTTTATACATAAACATGTGTCTCATCTGTGAAGAGAGATTCTGAAAGTTTCAGGAAAAAAGATTAGCTCACTTTTTGTCCTGATCCATTTATATAAAAACCTGTCTGAAAATAACTTCTGCCACAAAAATACACCAAAAGTACCGAAGAAGACCCCCGAGCATGGTTTCCATGGTTGCCCTTCTGTTTATGCCCCGCGGTGGATTTAGCAACATGTAGTTCATGTAATTCCACTTGTTGCTGATGGTTGTGGTAGAGGAGCTGTAGATTTCGCACTAACATCTGCAGTGGGGTCTGGGTGCAGTGAGCAGCAGAGGTGGGGAGAGGTGGGGAGAGGTGGGGCTATGGCTCATCGTTATCAGGAAAATGATAGTATAGGACGTACAGTACACACAGAGCCGTTTGGCCCCCCAGAGCGTTCCGGTTGCAGATCTATCCACCTTGGGACCCGTTATCGTTTGCGGGGTCCGTTTCCGCGTTTCCGTTACGGCCTCGTGTGAACGAACGGGCTAAACGAAAGGGAAAAGTTGCGGATACAACCGTTTGCGTTATCGTGTAAACACCACCTGAATCTCCTCCTAGAGCACCATTGTGTTCTTTTTAACCAAATATCTCACAGAGGGGCGTGGGGAGTGGCTCCTTATTTTCATCTAAAGTAACAGACAGAATCAGCACTTTTGAAACAAATCAAATCAAGTTTTATTTATATAGCACATTTATAAACGATTTTTGGTTGAGCCAAAGTGCTCAAAAATAAAATAAAAATAGCTTACAGTAGAGACACTTTACAGCAAATACAACAGCACAGATTGTTCAGAATATCAGTATGAGAAAAACGACACCCTCTGTCCTTAGACCCTCACATCGTACAAGGAAAAGCTTCCAGAGAAAAACCCACAGTTTAAGGGGGAAAATGGGAGAAACCTCAGGGAGGGCAACAGAGGAGGGATCCCTCTCCCAGGACGGACAGACGTGCAATAGATGCCGTGTGTAAATCGAAGAGATAATACATGTTACAGCATATAGAAGACCGAATGTTAGGAAATGCATGTGTCTGTAATAAGAAGATGAATCCATGAGGATGTCAGCTACAATCCTGTGGAAGCCATCAGGGAAGCAGCATGACAAGACCCAAGGCAGGACCGCAGAGACAGGTTCAGCCACGACCCGAAGTCCACGACTTAATCCAGAACTCGGGATAGAGGATCCAAGACACAGGACTACAGCAAGAGGATCAGCCTCGACTCCGGATCCCGGCGTAGATATAGATACAAAACAAGAAAAAAGAATTGGCTGGGTTAATCGGAACAAGAGAATACACAGACACAGACCGAGAGGGAAAAGGTCATTGGATACAAGTTATTCTTGATAACCCTCTAAAAATATGAACTTCCCCACTCAATCTATCAAGACCCGAGCAGTTCTATTAGATATAGGATAAGAAACAGAGATAGGGAGCACAACAACCTATCTCTTCGTCAGATGCACTCCCCCGCTTATCTAAGTGACTCTGTACCCCGTTACCCTCTACAAGGCCATAGACCAGGGGGCGGCAACCTTTTTGATATGAAGTGCCAATTAAAAAAAAACAAAAAAACAGCTGAAACAGAGGGGATTATGGGATGCTGCGATGATCTGTTTGGTGTTTCGAGCCAAACACTTCAGAGACATGTTTTGTATATAACTGAGATCTATATATTGATGAAAAACAGTATAATATGGGACCTTTAAATCATAAAAGATTAAAACACATGGCTGATATTTAAGTTTTTCATGATTTGGATACTTCTTTGCAGGTGAATCTTTTCTTCTTACTAAATATTATAAGAGTGCTGGTGACCAAGTTGAGAGACACCCACCGGGCGGAGTCCAACATGTACATGAAGGCCGTGAGAGCCACCCTGATCCTGGTGCCCCTGCTGGGAATACAGTTTGTCATTTTCCCCTGGAGGCCGGAGAACCGCCTGGCTGGGGAGGTCTACGAGTACATCATGCACATACTCATGCACTACCAGGTAAATACTGCAATAATCAGAAAGAATTTTGCTCATCTGGAAATAATCCAATCAATAATACAGGAAAGAAACATATCAGCATCAGTATGCGAGCAGAAATGTTCCTGAACGCAGCCCACCTCCGGGTCCTGTCAGACGTGAGATTTAGACGTTTGGCACGCTCGAAAGTTTCCACGAATAAAAGACCTGTTTTCTGCCTCGTTGTTGCATTTGATCGATGTGATTCAATCACTGCTGAATTGCAGTTTAAAGAACCAGTTAGACACTCCATTACCTTTGTTTAACTACCAGTTTGGCACTTGATTAAACAACAGGAAGACAAGTCATGAAATCCCCTGGTTGGCAGTCAGTTTATTCACTTAGCAGACAAGGACTGCATTGCTTAACTGTGGACTTTTCTTTTTGATTACATTTGCGTTAAAAAACAATACAGTGCTAATTATGTGTACTTGTTTCCTTTGAAGGGATTACTGGTGGCAACAATATTCTGCTTCTTCAATGGAGAGGTAAGCACTCTTATTAAGTTTGTTTTTCCTACAATGTGCTGCTGCAGCTGCTGCTACAACATCTGTAAAGTGAAAAAAAAGGGTTTGACATTTGTGTAATTGTGTTTACATTTGCTGTGTGTTTTTAGCTTAGGTCAAAAACAGGAGAAAAACTAAGCCTCCCATAAATACATAGAATACATTTTAATTCTCAATATGTTAAACCTTTAATAATATTTCATCCTGGAAAATATTTTGTTTCATGTGTGCTCAAATAACACCGTATTTTTGGTTTAGCAATTGCTTTTTTATAAATGTCAACCTGTATATGACGGTGATCTGTTCTACTTTGAGCAGTACACCTGCTTATTGCTTATGACATTAAGTACGAGACATCAGACTCCATCAGGCAAAACATTTGTTTTTCCGGGCCAGATGTCAGCATATCGATAAGTGGCCCAAACACAGACTTCAAAGCTGTGTTTTGGCATTGAATGGTGAAGTTGTTGTAGCTGTGCATGGATGCTAAATCTGTCATTAGTCCAATTGCAACAGGTTATAAAGCATTGGGTTGCCTTTCTCTTCTGGGACCAATCTAGTGCCGCGCCAGTGAAAGCTGAAGGGTCATGTCAGGTGAAGAGTAAGACACAGTTTATAAATGGCTGTGTGGTTTCCAAGCCCAGCTGGAAATTGACTCTCTTTTCAAGTCCTCCTGTCAGCCTTTTTAAGTCTGTCAGCAGCTGTCTGACTGCGAGCATCCCTACGTTTCGCTGGGTTTCCAGTAAACTCAGATCTGGGGTTAATGGTGTTTTTTTTAAGACCTTTTGTCTCCAAAGGCTCATTTTATAAAGATGCTTCTAAGCTCTCAAGGACTTCTCAAAGAAAAGCAAATGTTGTGAGTGTCAAACCAAAGTCAAATAGGACGCACCTGTTCTTATAGCCTTTTTATGTTTTTCTATTTTCGAGTTTTTTTAAGTCGCAATTTGTATTAATAGCTCCATGACATGTGACCCAGAGACATAAGTGGGACACACCTCTTTTTTTTAGGCTTTTAGTATTTTAGCATTGTGTTCTCTTTCTAATTAATTTGCATATTACTACTACATGACTATTACTACTGCTATTAAGTCAGTACCATGCTGTAAACATGTTTATTTGTGCTGTAAAGTTGGATATTTCAACACTGGGGTCTACGCAGCCTCAAGTGGCCATTCTAGGATCTGCAGTTTTTCACACTTTGGCATGGCTTGGTTTCCACTTGCTGAATACCACAGACAATTTACACTATTTATTTGTACAGTAGTTAAAACAACAAGCGAAATTCTCCATTATCCATAACGAGGTTGTTAAAGGTATGTTTCGCATGAGAAGAAAAACATGAGCGATCTATTGTTCAGATCGGAATATAGGACATGTTTATTAGCTCGTACTTGAGCAGCCAGACCGCAGCAGCGCCTTGGTGAACAATGTACAGTATGCGGTACAAACAAGGCGTGGAGCGCTTTTACTGTATAAAGGACGAGTAGACTTTCAGGGGGATGTGGGGTCAGCTAACACTAACCACCACAATGGACTGAAAGGGTTTGAATTCTTCAGGCGCATAATGATCAATTTAGCTCGCTTAATCAGGACACGGGTTTCTGGGGCCGGATTCAATGCTGTTCTTTGAATTAGAGGCCAAACTGCACAGACCTGCCTTGTTTCGTCAAAGGCCTCATTGTGATATCAGGTCAGTGAGACAAACAGCTTTTATGCTGTTTTTGTGACAGCAAGCAAGACGCTCTACATGGAGCTGTAAGCCCAGGCTGCTCTTTTGTCACATTACAACAATTACTTTCATAATTTACATCATTAGATCATTAATATACCCACAGTAATTACAGTAGTATGTGGGCGTTGCAAAGGAAAATGTTCAAAAATACTCTGCTGTAGGATGGTAGGTGTGATTTGTGCTTTTAGGAACTTGAACACTGTTCTTTATCAGTGAATATGAACAGTGTGATGAATTGATTAGTTGTTCAACAACAAATTAGCAAAACTAAACTTTGTAGTAAATTAATTGTTGATCAAGAATGTCGAACATACAGTGGTTACAGCTGTTCAAATATGAAGATGTACCTCTTTACTTTGTCTAAAATCCCTTAGGATTTTGTGTATCTGGGATTTAATGACTTTTTATTGACGAAACAAAACAAACACATTAAAAAACTATTAAAACAAGCCCCACATCCATCCAACAACATACTATCTTGCAGGCCCTAATTAACCAGCTTGAGCTCCCTGATGAAAAGTAGTTGGTAGTCCTAATTGAGACACACACACACACACACACACACACACACACACCTATTATCCAGAAATCTACCACTATGTTTTTGCTATCCAAACCTAGGACAGAGGAATATTCCCCTGTTCTAGGTTTTTTGTTAAAATGTTTTACGCAGGCCAATCTTTATGAAAGGAATAGGAGACTAAAAATGACTCATGGCCTTTCTCTATTTAGTTTTTAAATGTGCTTTAGTGGTGCATATTACCATAAAAAGTCATTTCAACCCAGCGTCACCTTATGAAAATGTCAAGATGAATACAAAGATGCTGGTTATTGCATTTCTCTCTGAAAACTATGAAAGGTTTCTGCTCATAGACGTAGGAGGGTCAAATTGATTTGAGAAAGGAGGCCACGTGTAATACATTTGAATAATGTCATCTTTGGCATTTCTTTAGTTACTGAATTCTCAGCAGGTAGCCAAGAGGAGTTTGCTTTTCTTTTGTTCATCTGTATTGGCAAAGGTAGGCGAACCAAGGGAGGGAGTGTAAAAACTGGAACATCGAGTCCTCTCAGGCATTTAGGATCTGCAGGGTGAAGAGTTTAAGTTTGTTGTTATCTCTCTGAAGTTTACTAATCTTCTGAAAGGGTAACTGTCTTACACGGGATTAAGAAGTAGAGAAGTAGAAGTGTCCTGCTTTTAAGATATTTCCTTATTTTCTGAAAAATCAAATAAGCCAAGGCAAATATCTCACATTTTGTTGGTTCATTTTAATGTTGCCGATAAAAATGCAATTATTTGTCTTGTTACTTTTCAATAATGGCTGTGGCTTTGACAGCTGTAGGGGAGAAAAGAAAAGTAATTACTGTAACACTTTAATTATCCTTAATAAATGCTAAATTAAATGCATATTCATTATAATGTAATTGTTTGGCAACAGTCAAATTAAAAGTAATTGACAATTTGACTAACAGTTATTACAGTATGTAGTTTTTCCTTAATTTCATGATTAAATCTTTTTATTGATTGCATATTTTTTCCCTTTAATAACATGATGATCTGGCCGAGTGCACACTTGGCCTCGTTCCAGGTTATGTGACTTCAGCGTGTTTACATTTCCTAACTGGCATCTGTTAACGTGATTGAAATCTGTGTGATCCACATATGCTGCAAGAATTATCCCCGCATCAGATAAGATCACTGTCGACGGGTTAACGTTGTCACAAGATGATATTTACACTTGGCTCTGCTTCGATACCGCCTTCTGATCTGCATGTTCATTCATCTGCTGGAATCATTTTGTGGTCAAAGGAGATCAGAGAAGCAAAACAGGAGAATACAACTCTAGAGAAATGTTTCTGATTAGTAACTTTGACATCTCAAAACACTCAAAATGCTAAAACAAAGGGTTATGATAGAGATTAGGGTTGCACGGTTTGGGGAAATATATATATTGGCTGATATTGCACCTGCCATACTGCACTGTATAAGAGGGATTGATACTTCTTTTAACATCTCGGTGTGTGTGTGTGTTTCTCAGGTGCAGGCGGCTCTGAAGAGGCAGTGGATGCAGTATAAAACGCAGTGGGGTCAGAGGAGGAAGGACCACTGCTCCATGCGCTCCACCTCCTACACGGCCACCTCCATCACCGAGGTGCCCGCCTTCATGTACCACCACGACTCCAACAGCGAAAACTTGAACGGGCGCACCACCGAGGACTCTGAGCTGGTGGCGCTCAAATCAGGAGAGACGTACGCTTGAGCCACGCTGGAGGAAAGAGAGCAAAGTAGTGGAAACAACCGAAGAACCGAACAACAGAGATGTACAGAAAGAAAGGAAAACCCCATGTGCCATTTCTCAGTGATTAAAAGCTCACAGGCTGATGCTGGTTTGTTCAGCCCAGGACTTTGATCCGAGCTCACTGGGATGAAGATGGAGGAGCTACAGTGCTGACACTTCATTTTACTCTACATTGCTGTTGCGGCTGCTTTCTGAGAACTTTTGACGTCAAGAACTTGTGGCATGACAGCTGCTGTGTCACTTCCTAAAGCTGCTAAAACTGTGCTGGTGTGCGAGACAGAAATAACTGTGACTGTGAAGAAGGAGAGGAAGATTTCAGTTTGAGACGATGGCGCCGAATGTGAGAGTTGTTGAAAGTAGAGGTAGAGCTGAACAGTATTTTTGATGGAGGATCTGCGTATAACTTCTCCCCGAGTATCCTCACCAGATGTTGCCACATGACTTGCTGTTGTTGGACAGAACAATAGTTCTCAATACAAACAATGGAAGGGAAGTCATGAAGATTTTTAAGGTCCTTCCTAACCTCACCGATACCAAAGGGTACTGAAAGTTGGTCACAGCTACGAAGGGGTGTACCATGTCCAGCTGAGCAAAGATGGTGGTACTCTTAAGCTAAAGACACACACACACACACACACACACACACTTCACAAACCTGATCGTATGTGCCATGATGGAGGTCAAATTTCAAAATACCCTCCGTGCTTAAAGCTCTGGAATTGTGTACATAGTGTATGTTCACCATGTTTCACTTGAAAAAAAAAAAACGTTTATTTTAGTTTTTTATTAATATTTTATTCTTGCCAATTCCTACGTGCGTGCTAAGTGTGTGTCCTGTGATGCTGCACTCCAAACTGCTTCGTTGTTTTGGCAGTTGCTGTTTTTGTGCCGATGCTGAACATCACAGGGCGAATAAAAAAAACTGTATTTTGACGTCGAACAGCCGCAAGAGTTGTTTCACTGCGTTTGAGTATGCCATGAATTATTCTGACTTCTCTGCAGTGTGTCCTATTTGACTCACTTGTTTTACTTTACAATCATCCTTTGTCGCACTCACGATGCCTTTATTCAATCTCCTTTTTTGGTTTAAAAAAGTTATATTCCCTGTGTGCATATTTATTCATGAACTTTGTAGCATTGTGTATTAAAGAGCACCCGGGGCAAAGGAAAGGTTCACTAAAGATTAAATGAAGATCACATCCATACTGTATGAACAGTCAACAAATCCACATCTTAAAGGCATGTTCACAATACTGCAAACATGAATTATGTACACTTTGTCCTCAATATTATATTATAAATGTATTGTTGCTTTGTCTTAACTGTGCCATAGGCTTTTTGGAGAAGGAAAATTGAGAGTATAAACGAAGGACCACACTGAGTTGATCAGTATTCACCAACTTATAGAACTTGGATAGATGCAGTGTCTTCATTGATAAAAGTTATTGAGTAGATCATTGAGATTCTAAACTGAATAAATAAGTGCCGACATTTAAATTCATCAAGGGAAAAAAAACATCCTAGTTTCCGCCTACTTATTCAGATGGAGGAAAAAAGGTCCAAGGAATATTTGTAATATTTGTTAAAGACAATGTTGTATGGATATGGCTAGTGATTATCTGTATTTCTGTTATTGATCGCAAGCCTCTTAAGAAGACAAAACCAACTGTCTGTCAAACTTAACAACTCCCCTAACCTTACTGCCTCTTACAGCATCCATTCATTCTCAATGAGACTTAAATCTTTAAAACTTACAGAAATGTGTTTTTAAAGCCAAGTAATCTTTTGAATGGATGGGCAGTTTAATATCTTGCTAATGCTACTCATACAGATGTAAAAAGTGCATTTTCCCTGGACTATTCTCCCGCGTGTTAAAACACTGTTGGTGCTCTAGTGAGAATGTACAGCCGCAGGACATTAAACATATGATTGACACAAAATTAACTGCAGTGCCTATGCTCATAGTGGCACAGTAACATATGCACCTGTGCTGCTGATAGATGTGATTTTAATCATTTTGGGGACAACAATGGAGCTCTAAAGCCCAAAGGAAGGAGCTGAATCAGGCCTGGCAGAGACAGTGAGACTCCATTATTGATTTTTGTCATTTCATGAAGTTTGTAGACAAATACCCACAAAATCACAAAGAAATCAATCGCAACACATAAGAGTTTTCTGAAATCACATGTTTGGTTCTATCAATGCTAAATGGATGCTTTTATGGGTTATTATCTGTTTAATGTTTGTTGATTTTGTGATGGATTTCGTCAAGCTCAGTGGCAACTGGAATAACAAAATGTGTGAGATATTAGAAGGTTCAAATGTATTTTTAATTTATATTTGCAAAATGTTGCGTAACAAACTGTATCGGACATGTTTTAGATTTGACATAGCAGCTCCATGAGACCACAGCTCTGACCGCAAATCTGTTGACCGAGATTAGCCACCTCACGTCTCTCATGCTCTCAGAAAGCTGCTTACATTTGATTCATTTCAAGACTTCACTACCTTCATCAGATGTTAGGTTTTTGTATGTTATATAACCACCATATTTGAAATCATTAACCATTTAAAAAAATCACTCTATTCGGTAGTCCGTTCCAATCTATCTCTAAATGCGCAAGTTCAGTTATGAAGTCACCATAAACTAATTTGTAATAGGGTCCATTTCTGGCTCTTCTTTGTTTCCATCCAAGTATATTTTACCATGGACCTGTAATGTGAAGCTGAAACAACATTTGCACATTTAATCACAGAGTAAGGCTCTGAAGTTACAGAATGTAAGTAAAGGCACCTTGTAATAATTGGCTTAGAGTTATTATTAAACAGAGATGGGAGAAGTACTCAGATCTTGTAGTGAGGTAAAAGTACCAGAGTGTAGGAATACTCCGTTACAAGGAAAAGTCCTCCATTGAAAATGTTACTCAAGTAAAAGTACAAAAGTATCAGCATCAACAAATACTTAAAGTGCCAAAAGTAAAAGTATTCATTATGCAGATTGGTCCATTTCAAAAATAATATATATGATATGTTTTGATTATACTTAATGATGCATTCAAGTGTTATCAAAGCTGGTAAAAGTGCAGCTAGTTTGAATGACTTTGTATACTGCAGGGTAGCTCATTAAGTCTTATGGGTTGACTATATTTCACATCATTAATCCAAATCTGCAAATTAACTAAAGGTACTAAATAAATGTAGTGAAGTAAAAGTAAATGATTTACCTCTGAAATGTAGTGGAGTAGAAGACCTAAGTAGCAAAACATGGTAATATTCAAGTAAAGTACCTCAAAATGCTACCCAAGTACAGCACTTGAGTAAATCGACTTAGTTACTTCCCACCTCTGCTATCGAGACAGAATAAAAGACGATTTAACCAGATAAATAGACACATGACATTAGTGTAATTAGGTTATACAATTAATGAAGCTCTTAACTTCTGTAGCTGTAAAGGAGCATTTTAACCAACAGAAAAAAGTGAGTCTTAATATGTAGCGTCACTTAAGAAAATCCCCAAGACATCTGGACCCGTTGCAATACAATGTTTTAATGACTGTTGAGGTACAAGAAAGGAACAGAGAGACAATCAATCCTTATGCTATTCATCGTGAAGAGTAGGTTTCACTGCTAATTTTAAAGAAATGTATTTATTTTAGTATGAAATTCATCTTTTCTCTTTATAACGGCGATTTGTCACACTGTAAGACGCGCATGTGTTTTGGAAACACAGATTGTGTATATTTTGTATGTTCATACTCGTGTAAATACAAGCAGGCACTGTGTATATGATAGATTTATTTACACTGTGAAATACTCTGACAGCTATTTTGGTTATGTTCCTGTCATTCATTTTGGCTTGTGTTTGTCTTTTCCTCCCTCTCAGCTCCGAGTGGCATCATCTCAAAGCTGATATTTAAAAGAAAATGCATTTTGTAAAAGCCAAATTGATTGATGTTTTTTTTTGTTTGTAAGTATTTAGCACAAGAATACAGATATAAAAGACTATTTGGTGTTGCTCTTTATTTCCTAATCAAATCAGAGAAACAAGCTGCAAATCTACAACTTGTACTCAAGGATAAAAGGTTTGTTATTATGAAGATTTCAAATGATTTGAATGAGATTATTGACTCCTTTTTTCCAAACACACTGATGCAAACTTTGTTTTCAAGCATTCAGCGCTCTGTGATGATTCAGGAGCGCCAACACTATTCTCGTCAATGTTTCAGGGTTGAAAGATTTTGTATAATGAGAGTACAGAGAAAACAAAGGGAGTCTTACTCGATTTTGGTGTCTTTGTTATCCCCCGAGCTTGGCAATGTCATACAGGCCCCTTTTAATTATAAGGCTTCAGCTCAAATCACATACCAGCAGCAGATGTGTGCAGAACACAAACAAACTCCACTGACACCATTTGTCTCTCAGATGTACGGCCGCTCTTACCCTGCGTCAAATTAAGGTTTTTATCACACTAACAAGGCCAACTTCTCTCCTTTATGTGAATATCTTTCAGCCATTATAAAATACATATAATAAGCAATTTCAGGCTCTGCTGAATCTTAATGGTTCTGCTGAGATGTAGACGTCCTCTCCTGCGTATTCACAACCTTCTGGGTTTGTGAGATAATAACAAAATGATGATGAAGTTAGACGCGTGTTGAGGCCTTTTTGTTATGATTCTGATAAATATTTCAAAGCACACAATCCAAATTCATCGCGAAATGTATCTTAAAATGCAAAGTCTGAAATTGTATGCAAACTGTATTGCATTTGGAGGCAGAGATCAATGATTTATGCAATAATGACGATACAATGGGGTCTAAATCTCCATCATTTTCATAAATCCTCCTGCTATGGAGATTCAATGAGACAATGGAGCAGAACGTTGGAGGAAGGAGCTGTAGATTGCCCTGAACAGACTCCATCTTGGGAGCATGCAGCCTGGGAAACTTCAGGAACATGTAAGCGGCGGGCTATTTCAGGAATTGAAACAGTTTCCGTGACAGCGACGATCAATCCGTGACACCGGACAAATCCAAGAATGTGTAATTTGAGCTCAGAAATCAGCTGTGAAAGTAATTGTGTGTTTTGTTTTGCTCCGTGGTGTTAAAACAAGACATGAATGTTTTTTCCAATCTTCAACTGTGCGTTACAGATGTTTCCAGGCCACTTGAATCCACCACGCCCTCAGCTTCTGACACTGAATGCTCAGATCAAAGTTTACCTGGATGTGTCCTTACCTTTCCTCCTCTCTGCCCCGTGGCGCCCACATACAAAAACTTTGCATTTGAATCTTAGGGTTGCACACCAAACCAAAGGCAATTATGCTGTAGCTCCATACAGGCTGATTGAAATCAATATCAAAATGTGAGTAAAGGAATCACATCGTTTTTTAAACAGTTAAAAAAAAAATATATCAATCATAAGACATAAAGGAGACATGTGATATGGCAACCCAGTCTAACGGCATTTCGTGTTCACCAACACGATTTTTAATCTATTGATTCGTGTTCACCAACACGATTTGCCCCTTTTTTTTCGTGTTGCACAGCACGATTTTAAAAGCAATGTATTTCTACTGCCTGCAGCACGTCTTTTTCTCCGGTCGGGTCGAGGAAGACCGGAAGCTGTGTGGTTCATAAAAACATGTTCTTACTCAATATCAAGCCACAGTTATTGCTTTTATTTGAAATCGTATAATTTCGGACTTTTGTTGCCGTCTGTGAGGAAAATAAATGGGGCTCAGAGCCTCAGGATACTGAAATCTGTATTTTTAAAATCTTTTTTCCTTCTAATTTGTTATTCTTTTCAAAATAACACACTGTTATTTACTCACCAATAACACACAATTATCCTTGCTTTTATTTATTGGTTTAATTCCATAATCTCGGGCTTTTTTGGCGTCCGTCAGGAACTGAATTTCAAAATAAAAATAACCGGAAACAGACGTAGGCATTTCGAGCGATTACCCAAGATCCTCAGCTATGGTTTTAAGCTCTCTTATTGGATGTTTTAGCCGCAATGCATGCTGGGATTTGGTGTTTATATGATATGAAATCCGGAAAACATTTTAAAAGAATAAAATACTTAATTCCGAGCGCTCTTGCTTTTCTCTTTGAAAGTCATCACATAACGGCATTGTAATACACGGTTCGGCTGCATTGTATATTACAGATCTGCCGTAGTTCTTTATTTATAGAGCCCTGATGAGAAGACCTTTGGAAAAACTGAGAAAATGCCGCCGAAACTGAATACTTGACGTGGATCATAAATATATTCAACAATTAAACAACATCTTCAATTTCTCTTCACACAATACGTCTCCTTGCAGTATCAACACTAATTCGGCTGACTTTTACATTTGATCTAATTCACAGATAGGTTATATTTACACCATAACGGTGCACAGCTGATATAAAAGGACTGTAGTTTTTAAAGATAGGCCTATTACTGATTTTCTTTGAATGTAAGAATGTAAATACTGAGTCTGAAATAGTATAGCAATATGCTGTAAAATTATGTGAAAACATTTTCAGATGTTGTACGAAAACAAAAGTGTCCTACACTAATAATACAAAGTTATTATGGCTGTGTGTACCTTGTGTGCACCGCCTAGTGGTTAAAGCACGTTATTGAATTTTGATTTGATTACAAAAATATTAAGAGTACATACTTTCATAGGGGGAAAGTATAAATATAGAATATAAAAATCAAGAAGATACTATAAGTGATCTCTACAATAAAACAGTTTAGTGCAGAATGTACAAAGATATTAATAGGAGGAGGTGCAAAACAGAAAAACGAATTAACCTTTATTTAAACATTAAATAACAGATTAAGGTCTTCTTTTAAATAAGAAAACAACTTTGGGGGTATCTATCTACAGATAAATATTAAGCCTGACAAAGTACTTAACGTCTAATATATTGCTTTCCTGCAATGTTAACTATGTTAAAGCACTTATTTTAACTGATATTATACATATGAATTATACTCTTATGTATGTAGATAGAATAAGAAATGTGCAGAATATGACAGTTTAATGGTGGAGGTACACACATATTGATAGATGTCTTGTAATGCACTGTTGAGGAACCTGTGACCCAAGTGTTTCATTCATTGCATAACTACACCGTAGTTGTGTATATAATATGTCAATAAACCTTTGAAAATCTTGAAAGGGATGTGCAAACTAGCCATAATATACAGTCTTTAATTAACTATTAGTAGAGAATAACGAGTAATGAATATACTTTATTACTCGTTTCCATTCATGTCAATTGCAGTATGTTTAGTCTTCTCAAGCACCAACTATCAAATATCTCTCCTGATTGTTGGCACTTGACAATCACCTTACCTGAATTTTACTCAGGTGTAACTAAAGTCTGATTTAAGGGTTGTTTATATTTAGGGATGGGTATCGTTTGAAATTTATCGATTCCGATTCCGATTCCGGTTCTGCTTATCAATTCCGGTTCTTATCGATTCCCCGTTTCGATTCCAAAATTGTAAAAGAAAGAGGTCAAACGTTTAGATAACAAAAATATATTTATTCTTTTCAGCTTTAACTGAAATTGTTACAAATAAAAAATATACATGCAATACAAATGTATTGCACAATAGCTGTGCTTTATTTTAACTGAGCTATGCCTGTGGCAAGCTATTAACACTGTGCCCAATTGTCTTTTTATTTTTTAGTGTAGTGGAGCCTCACTTCAGAGCGTTTACCGCGACCCATCTTTGGTGTTATGAAGTGACTGAGCTCGTGAACTGTCTACGGGAGGGCGGGGGGAGCCTCGCTGCGGGGCAACTGTGGACCTCTGTCGCCTGTCAGCGCAACTTACATGATGCCGTTTAAAAAAATTAAGGGCGGTGCCGGCCATCAGCGTACCGAGCCGGCCGTCAACGGCCCGCTGACAACCGGCCGTTCTGTGATTCTCCAGGTCCGCCCTGTATTCCACCGGGTCGCCGCGGTACAGACGGACCCGCTGGAATACAGGGTCTACCGCGTTTAGGAACCGTTAAGCAGAACCGAAAAGGTGTATTTTGTACGGGTACCCGGTACCCGGCATTTTCTTATCGGTTCTCATCTGGAACCGAGTTTCGGTTCCCAACCCTATTTATATTTCACATAATTAATCAGAATCTGCAAAGTAACTCAAATAAATGCAGTGGAGTAAAAATACCAGGTTAACCTCTGAATTGTAGTGGAGTAGAATTACAAACAATGAGCTGTCATGTGGGTATTAATGCTGTGCATTATGGACACAAGCGATTTTCACCCATTTATTAATTATATGTTTTACATTTGATAACACCAATGTGTTTAATACTGGCAACTTCTAATTGTGGTAAAAACGAAAACGTTCAGTAGAGACGTCCCATAGAACATTTTGCGAAACACAATAGCCAGCATGTGTAGTTCTGGGGGGGCGTTCGATTCCAGTTTTGGATAGTCTGGCGTGGTTTCGTTCCATTTCACACAGCTGTTTGACGCTCTGCGTAACCTTACGGGGACTGTAGTCCTAAACGATAGCTGGGGATTATGGGTAGTGTAGTGTCTTCGGCCATCCTA